AAAAATACTTACAAAAAAAAATCCGTACAGTATATAATATATTCCCACTAAAAAGTTGTATAGCATGCAAGCACGCAATTAATAACACAATTATATACCGACCAACTTAACATGAACAAGACTCAGTGATTCTAATTTAATGGGGTTATGTCTTACACAAGGGATTTTCGTAATTAACCGTAAGCACAACCAATGGCAGTATAATGAGCTTTCGAAAGAGGTATAAAAAGTTAACTTTAGAATCTTCACACCTCGTTAGAGACTGACCTTGGAAACCTTGGTGTTTGAATTAATTGATAAATTTTAAAGCTTTTTAGACTGTATCGTTTTATTTTAAATATATTTTTTATTAAATAGATTAGTTTCGACTTAATAACAATAATCGTTCTGTTAATAGCACTGTTTGACTGTGGGAAATGCTTTTCTTGGTCTTTTATATTTAATAGGGATGATGCGGAATCGTTTTGGCTGAAGAGATTGTCCACCATACATAGTCCCACGCGCCACCTGAGAAGTCAGTTACAGAGTGAGCTAATGCGTGCTTTCTCGTTTCGCTGCATCCATGCAGAGTACGTTTCCAGAGTTTTTATTTACACCAGACTAGCACTTAGGACTTAGGGAGTAAAATCAGAAAATAAGGAAAATGCTACTACGGTCGAATGTATTGACTATTAAATTAATTAATGTCTTTTGAACATTGGATAGATGATTGTCAGTTCAAAATCTTACTCATATCAATAGCCAAAAATAAGTAACAAAATCATATATTTTCTAAGTACTATACCACCTGCTACACATTCGTAAATAATTCAAACCGACTCCCATAGATTTCTCCGCATTCGTCAAATTAATAAAAAAAAATACGGTGTCAACATCTCAGTACCAACTCTTGAACTAGGTTAAATTAAGACTAACTTAACTCTTTTACTTATTAAGCAAAATTCAATTTTATCACAGTAACACAGAGCTTATTGTGAATGCGAAATGCATTGCTGACATTTAAATTCGAATGCAGAAGAATATCCAAGTAATGGCTTAAAATATAAGGCGCGATTTCCCTTGCATTTAACTCTGGGTCGTGGGACTAGTTTTACTTGATACAATGGCTTAAGAAACTTTGAGTTTAAGATTTCATTGTCACACTTCTAATTGTTGTTTCCTCAGGAAATAGGAAGTAGATTTTGTTTCCCACAGTTATATGAATGCGATTCCTCAAATATATCATAGATAATCCTACATTCATTTGTCAGCTGTGATACAATGATTTATATACGTCTAACGGAAGCCGCTTAGTAACAATTTGCATGAGACTGATAGAGACGACTTGATTGCTGATGATAATATATAATTATTATTAAAAACGAGAGTTGTTATAATTAAACAGATGCACAGTCTTATATATCTTTGTCTAGAAATTTAGAAGAGACTGGATTGCTTTTTTATGCCAGATTTTTTTTTTTACTTTCTCGATACAGAGTGGTCTCTCCGAGGAGTTTCTTTTAATGTCTCGAGTGCAGTAGTGGTACAGTATGTATAGAGGGTGAAGATAGGGTTTGATTATCACGGTGATCCGATGATGAAATGATCACCACTTTAATATCGCAGCACGTGAGAACTCATAGTAAATCGACCAAACCTTAAGCTTCTCGTAAAGTGGATGGTGAAATGTTTCGCGTATGGTAAACACAGTACGTAAAATAATTGGCAATTTATTTGAAATGTCATAGTATTAAAAAGAGCTGAGAAGTGTGTGTAATGTGTGCCTTGATGGGGCTATGTTAAAAACATCATGTGTCAATGAGTGAATACTGAATGAGTATTGGAGCCTATAAACATCACCGCATGCAAGCCAGATGAAAGTGTAAGTGGAATTTAGCTTTATGTACATATCATCATCATCATCATTAACAGCCTACAGTCGTCCACTGCTGGACATAGACCTCTCCCAATCTACACCACTGAGCCCGGTCTGCGGCTCTCTTCATCCACTTCTTGCCGGCCACCGTGCGGAGGTCATCGCACCATCTAGCCAGGGGGTACATGTACATTTATATGTACATATAAATATACATAATATACATGACCAATATTCCTTTTACTCATTTTTATTTATACCTTATAATATTATCATCAAAACACGCCTTTCACAAAACATTAAATTGAACACGATATAAAATATATTCAATAAATTTTTGAAGCAACTAGCTTTTAAATTTATATAAACAAGTCAATCCTGATATTCTTAGAGCATTAATATTAATTCGCCCATCGCGGACGTCGTCCAAAACACACTCAAACGAGTGGGTGGCGAAGAAAGTGAAACTTTATGTAACTGAATATTTTATTGTCAATTTGAATATTTACGATCAAAAGTGAAATGATGATACTGGATTGAGCTGTGTTGTTTAGCTGGCATACGTTATTGTTGTGTGATTGTGGAATCTGAATGCTTTTTATACTGCTGTCAATGGGGGAATTAATACCACACAAAGCTTAGTGAAAACATTCGCTCACATTTCAAAGTTTTAGAACAGCTGCTCTGAGGATGTTAAGTATTTAGGACTGGTTCTCATTAAGAAGTTCTTAAGTCACTTTTCAACCAGAGCATCTGATCTCGAGGTCCGCATGCACAGGGTACAAAACCAATGTGGATCGAGGAATACAGCTTTTTTCATTGCCTTTTAAGACATACAAGCATACAGCTCACCTGATGGTAAGTGGTTACCATCGCTCATAAATGTCAGCAATGTCAAGGGCACAGCCGAAGTCGCTGTATTATGACGCCATTGCTTTTTAATACAGTGACAACACGTAGAGGGAGAATGCATGTCCACAGTCTGATCTTTCATCAACTGAGAGACGAGCCGTTGTAACTATACTTGAGACCTTAGAACTTATATCTCAAGGTGGGTGGCGCATTTACGTCGAAGATGTCTATGGGCTCCAGTAACCACTTAACACCAGGTGGGCTGTGAGCTCGTCCACCCATCTAAGCAATAAAAAAAAAAGAGTCTGAGTTCAAACAGTGAGCCTTGCTTCGCTGTAAGTGGTATTTTCCAGAAGAAAAATTTCAACTCACTTCAACCCGATAACGGTCACAGTAAATGTGTCAAAGAAAATAACAACCGTCAAAGTAACATGAGCATCTCGCGGTTTCGCTCTGAATCCTTCGTAACTTAGTTCGTTGAGCACGGAGTGAAAATTCACTTTAACACGAAAATATTTATATTATTGACATCAAATTTATTAAAAAAATCTCGCAGTCTCTATTTATTTAAGGCTACATAGAAGAATAGTATTGTTATACTCTTCAACGTCCCATGTCTCTACATCATTATGTTTTTAAATAAAAAATCACTGGAAGCTTTCAAAAACAACTAGATTTGTATTGATTAAGAAGACAGACTAGAACTACCAAGCCGTTGCTTGCTACAGTGGACTCTCCTCCAGCCAAGTTTGAATAAGGGAAGAAATTTAGAAAGTAAGTGTATTTTATAAGCCGTTATATAATGGTACCTCGAAGTTACGAATAAATACCAATTAGCGATGGTACTCCCTATGTATAGCCGAGGTACATTTACATAAAAATCGAGCATGAATGCAAATGCATTAATTACAAACTTTGTAGAGTTTGTGGAGTAACACATAGAAAAGACTTCAACGCGTTATACTGCATAATTTTTAAGTTGAAACTGTTAATAATTTGGATTTTGACGCCAGGAACTACGCTTGTTGTAGGCGTAAACATAGATAATTGTTAATCGCTCAAACCAAAAAACTATTGACGGTGCTGATACGCACTATTATAAGTCGTTTTTGCAGATAATAAAAGTTGTTAGTATAAGTATTATTTATTGTTAGGACAACGTTTCCCAAGAAGAATAGTATTTCGCAATTACAGGCACTGTCGTTGTAGACAAGCAATGATATGACCCGCTTGGTAGTAAATAGCTATTATCGCCCAAGGACCTTTACAACGTCAGGGACAAAGCTAAGCCGCTGCGGACTGCTATATCAAAATAGAAAAATATACAGTATTTAAAAGAAAAAAAAACTATGTCATATCTTAATAGGAGTCGTAAAAAGATAATTCCCACAATTAAGCATGCAGTAATGTTATTACAGTACATAAAGTACGTGAACCGACTTATTACCCGTGTAATAACTGTTTTATTAACCGAGACACGAGTCAAAGGTTTTCAGCATACATTCTCATAGCTTTCACTGAACTTTAAGTAAAGTGGTTTGCTTGTGTTGTTTATGCTGCAGATGATTGAGAGCAGGTGGTGACCCAGTCATCATTCTTGTCAAACCCTTCGCTTGTGACAAAGGGCTCGACGAGTAAATTAACCCACAGACACAGCCCACTGAGTTTCTCGCCGAATCTTCTCAGTGGTTCGCGATTCCGATCCGGTGGTAAATTCTGCGAAGCACTGCTCTTACTTGGGTTGGTGTTAGCAACGTCATCAGGTTTGAGCCCCATGAGCTCACCTACTTGTTAAGTTACAGTGACAGCCTCTCAAGGTTATCAGCTTAGGTAAGAAAAAAAGGGGGTTTTCGGGACCCTCATGAGCTAGCACCATCAGTATACTTCCTTTTGTTACGAGGCAGTCGAGTTTGAGAAGACTACTCAGTATTTTTGTGTATTTCAGACCGGAGCGATGGGTGCTTTCCTAGGTCCCACCACAAGCCACCACAGGATAACACATGCAAAAGCATAGACGAAGAATCATTTTTTAGTTATATAGTTGAATAAAATGATGTTTTTGTTATTATGATCAATTTCAAACGTGTAACATAGAGTTTATGAAACATCCCGAGCGTGTTCAACATCACACAGCAGTTACATATTTATCTCGAGTTCATCTCGATTCTAATAGTAAAGATATATTCCAACCATAAGTCCATCTAGCCTTCTGGTCTCTACGGACAGAGAGCTCGAAGAGTACAAAAAAGTAAAAAAATGATTCTTCTGGACCATGAGGTCATTGAACACTCACCCAAGACATGCCTCACGGCGAAGCTCGCCAGCAGCACCCACAATATTTTGAACACAAACATTGTCTGACACTTTAACACTAACTCACTTGCACGTGCGACACTTTTGCATTTTGTCACTATTTCGTCTCATTCACTCGTGTAATCTACTCGGATGTAGCCTCACGAATATCTGGAACAAAAGAGCTTATTAAGTTTTTAAATTATAGTCAATGGATTGCCGCTTCTGATGATGGATAGATCTTTACGCCCTGTCAGGACCTATATGATACGGGTTAGGATGTCTTATGAGTCCGCACCACCGCCCTGCCTATTTCTGTCCTGACGCAGTAATGCGTTTCGTTTTGAAGGTACAGTCTTTCTACTATAAAAGCTGAGACCATAGGAATCAATGTGGGTGGCGGCATTTATGTAGTAATGTCTACGGGCTCTGGTAACCAATTAACACCAGGTGTACTGTGGATCCTTTTACACATCTAAGCAAAAAAAATACATATAAACTTATGAATATTATTAAGTAATTTGGAACAGTAGCTACGTGTAATGACATCAGCTATTTATTTGTAGGTTTTACATATAAGAAGGTGGGTCACTCTTTTTTGCAATTCAAGCAATTATGTTATAGTATCGTTGTCCTACCCTTCACTTATTTGAGTTTGTGCAACATAAATAAAGACAATTAAATTCAAATTTTGATTTGTATTGCATGGAGCCGATTAGCATATCGATAACGCCTCTGCAATATGTCTTCGTTTGGGAACTTTTTGACATGTGCTCACAAGGCAACGTGCTGGAGTAATTATTTATCAACAAACGTACTAATACACAGAACATCACTAACTAATGTACTACACATAAATCATGAGGAAAGGTCACAGATTAGTTATACAATAGAAGTGATAGTGTGTCATGATTCTGATCACAGGAAGTTTTTCGAATACGGTTTTATTGTATTGATTTTAAATGTCAACGCGTTCTATTATTGACTAGTTTTGGTCTGTAGATTTACTTGCACAGATATTTTAAAGTAGTTTTTTAACCATACTTCTTATGTGTTTTTCGACGCAAATTTTGTGAGTGGTTGTAACAGAAAAAAGTTGATGAAAAAACTTTTTGTGTTTCCTAGAAAATATTTTTAACAAATGCTTCAAATACTATAAAATAAATATAAAAATGAATTGCTGTTCGTTAGTCTCGCTAAAACTCGAGAATGGCTGGACCGATTTTATTTGGTCTTAAAATATTTGTAGAAGTCCAGAGAAGGTTTAAAAGGTAGATCAATATAAAAATGGTCGGAATGAAAGAAAAATAACAAATTTTTTCCCCTTGATTGTCCCCCGTTGGACGGATTCCTTTTGTTTGTTTTAAGTTTATTTAATACAAAGGCTTAGGTCTGTTTATTTATATACAGAGGCACTACGAAGTCTGCCGGGTCAGCTAGTATAAAACAAATTGTATGACTACAAGTGAAAACCGGTCACAGTCCGTTATAACTATTGTGGTGGGTAGCCATCATACAACGCAAGATAATTAATAGATGCCTGAATCTCGCTTACGACATTTTCAAGATAAAGTGCATATATACAAGTTTCGAACAACAACATTCGGACCGTCGGCTTACCGAGCAACTATCACCCGCTCGGTGAAAGATCTTCCCTTTCATCGTATATTCCCAAACTATCGCTTTCGATTGTTTTTAAGAAGTGACGCGCGTGTCATCTGTAGCACTTTGATGGTACTACGACGGAAATATTTCCTGGAATATCAAAAATAACTGTACCAAGTTTCCTTAAAGTTCGGATGAATTCTTTCGGAACTCATTGAGAACAAATGATCCATACAAACATTAATTTATTACAAATAGGTTTCGATAATAATGAGACACGCATATATTTTCGATAGATAAATTAACTTTTCCATCACATCAACTATATCCTTGTAAAAAATCAAATATGTTAAGTTATTCCATTGAAGCGTGAAAAGATTAAGCGTGTTTGTATCATTGTATTGTATTAGCGGTAGGCACCGGCTTGGCTCTGCCCCTGGAATTGCTGAAGTCCATGGGCGACGGTAACCACTCACCATCAGGTGGGCCGTGCGCTCGTCAACCTACAAGGGCAATAAAAAAAGAAATCAATTTTATATTGGTATAATGCTTTAGTATAATAAGTCAAAAATTAAATTACAATCAGTAATATCCACCACTGTATGTGAAGTTAACAATTAGTCTAAAAATCTAAATTGTACAAGATACATCTTAAATAGTAAGATGTATCTTCTAGACATACGAACATAATTTAAAATCATCTTTATTGCTCGTTATGTAACCTAAGTTTCTTTTCGAACTATGTTTCATTCGATGTTTAGTGTTTATTCCAAATTAGTAAATGACCTAGGTTAATAGGTTACGTTGCTTAAATTCCGCAATTGAGGAAGACTTAAAATAAAGATTTAAATCAGATTTCATATTGTTATGATATCGCGATAGTGTAGTTATGTAATTATTTTACGTAATTGTGTTAATATTGACAATTTCATTTTACGATTTATCATCGGGCAGAGTGTCGTGGCCGAGCGATACCTCACCGATATTAATGGATTCGGTTCTAGAACAGCTGAATTCTTGGAAGTCAAATCCTTTGTCAATGTAGAGCGTAGCTCTAATATCATAGATAATACACAGAAATTAGTTATAGGTAAGCAACTCAAGAACTCAGCAAAAATGTTTACAGGCGTCGGCCACTAGATGGCTTCGCTTCGATTAGTTTCTCATTGCTCCAGTAAATGTCAGTAACATAATTTACCTATCCTATATGTTATTTTTAATGAAGGATTTTGTAAATTTTCAGAAACCACAAATTAATAAAACTTAGTCAATTTGTCTATAACAAATAAAGACTTGTATGATTTATTATTTTTTGGTTTTTTGTCTTTAGATATACAATAAATAAAAGCCTTAACTTTAACAACAACGTATAAGTTTAGGGGCATCCGCTACAAGATGTCGCTAGTTTCCATACATAAAAAATATTTGTCTTAAAGTATCGCAGTTTCAGGGCCCTGTCTAATACTACATGTACAGGTGACATGCAGCATTAGAGAGTAAGCTGTTATTAAAGTACTAAAGTATTTTTTATTAAGGAAGGAATTAAACTAAATGAACTTATTAAGAATTTAACTTAATTTACTAAATTTACTAAAATGATCAAACCAGACTATTGTAGTTAGTATCCGTGGAAACTAGCTAGTTGTTCGATTTGTGTAACCGGTCTTAATGCAGTTCCCCGTTGCCACCAATTCTTGGACAAAAGTGGAGCAGCTGTGCATTTAGTGTTGCTATGAATTTTAACGTCATGTAGATAACGACTTTATTCTTTAATTAATACATTTTTTATGTCTTTAATTAATCCCATTTCTTCTCGTGGTGATGGCAGCTGTGGCATCTATCGACACCAGGAACGGCTTGAGATAAGATTATGATTTTCAAAAATAGCGGGAGGAAAACATTTTATGCAATTTGTTAATAAATTATATTGTAAGATTGCACGGGTGCGTATCTTTTTTTTCCTACCTATGCTGATAGCCTTGAGAGGCTATTTCAGCGTAACCTTAGCTAGTAGGTGAGCTCACGGGGCTCAAACCGGAGTGATGCTAACACTGACCCTAGCAAGAGCAGTGCTTCGCAGAATCTACCACCGGATCGGAAGCGCGACCCACTGAGAAGATCCGGCGAGAAACTCAGTCGGGTGTGTCTGCTTGCAGATTAAGAAATTAAGCTCAATCAGGTCCATTTGCAGTGTGATAGCTCAGGACCCAAATATATCAGTTTGTCCGTGTGTACGGATCAAATTATTTAATCTTAAAAATTGCGGTTATAAAAATCATAACGTGAATAATTAATAAAAATGTTAATCGTATAAAGAAACAACAGTACTGTTACATTACAACACGTTCAGGTAATTTGTAGCGGAAATGATTATTCACATTGAAATTTTCAACAAAAAAGATAATGTTTAAGTGCTCTATCTATAGACTTTACTTCATAATATTAATAACAGTAATATAGTACTTTAGACGACAGTAAAACAGTGATACTATGCTTTTGAACTAGAGTTTATAGAATATTGTACTGCTCCCACCTATACGAATCAGAAGATTTTCATCGTGATGAAAGACGCGGCCTACAATTGTCTGTAATTTATCTTAACTGACAGATGAAGGACTAAGTACAACATTTTCTTTATTTAAATAGCTTATTGAATTTTAAGGTATTTCTTCCACACAATATTCGATGTTTAGTCTATAGATGTGTCTCATCACCTACTAATGCAATAGACAGTTTCGGTAACAAAACGAAAAAATTAACTCACCGTTGTTGGATATGAGGTCTATTAACCATTGCATGAAATATAATAGACATTACATATTCCACAGTAAGCGTGTCTTAGTTAGTCTAAGTCTAGTCCAACTTGTTCGTGTTGTCACTACACCAAAGTTAAAATCCCATAGACAAGCAGAAATACACAGAATGTTGGTATCTATCATTCAACCCCATAATAACGCCCTATATAGCTTATAGGGTAAAACCCAGATAGATGCCACAGCGGAATAGATGCCTCATATTCTAAAAACCTAACTTCCCGCACTCAAGACAAAAAAATTATTGAATAAGCAGGAACCACAGTTACCCTGTATCATGTACCATTTGACATAAGCTTATTGTTATAGAACGAAAACAATAAGTCTCTATAGAAACCGTAACGGCCCGAAGACAGCCCGTTACACAGTAATCGGTTACAGTTCATTGATAGTATTAATTGCCGAACCACACGTGAGCGATGTACTCGTGTTGTTATGAACTACATATTAACTTTTGAAGTTACCTTTTTATCGGCAAGATGCTTGCTTGCGGCTAGAGATTTTCGGGGCGCACAGATTGGTGTGAATGGGGATGTATGTTTAATAAAGTCTAGTCTTATTGTATAATATTAAGAATTTGTAAATAGATCGCCCGATTATAATACTTAAGAGCAAAAACGGACAGAGCCGTGTCGTATCCATATTTCTCATATTATTATAATTTACACTGATAGTACATTTTGCTTACAAATAGTTTATATATTCATACCCTTGCAGTGACTGTATTTTTTTTATTATTTTTTTATTGCCTAGATGAGTGGACGAGCTCACAGCCCACCTGGTGTTAAGTGGTTACTGGAGCCCATAGACATCTACAACGTAAATGCGCCACCCACCTTGAGATATAAGTTCTAAGGTCTCAATTATAGTTACAACGTCTACCCCACCCTTCAAACCGAAACGCATTACTGCTTCACGGCAGAAATCGGCAGGGTTGTGGTACCTACCCGTGCGGACTCACAAGAGGTCCTACCACCAGTAGAAAGATAAGTCCTATGTTGCGATGTACATATAGGTATATTTAGAAAAGAGCAAACCCCATGTGTCTTTTCGATTCTTCTCAGTGGTCTAGCAGCGTTTATATAGGTAATTAACTTAATGCGACTTTAAACCGCCTGTAAAGACTTACTTGAATTTTAAGGAAACAAAAAAATGTTAGTTATTTGTATCACCACTTGTTCTCAACACTCTGACCAGTTTCAATCCTTTAAATTAAGTTGACGATTTTATATTTCAATACTCACTAGCCTTCCAGCCCGCAGCCATTATGTTAGAATCTAATTAGCGGATCTTCTGTCTAAAATATCACATTATTTATTAAAATTAACCAATAAAACGAAACTATTTCAAGGAATTCATTAGAATAACTCGTATTTTTATGTATATGTAATATCACAGCAAAATTTTTAATACAGATTCAAATGGCGCGTCTTGAGGACACGATGAATTATTTCCAAGACGTGGTTATAACGTCGTGTAATATTTTGAACTGAAGATGCTCATGTGATGCACTGAAGATGCGAAGGACTGTGCACCTGTATCGGCCTTCTCATGCCACGTGTACTATTGATTTAGGTATGTAGACGAGTTCAGGAACTAGCTGGTATTAAGTTCGCACTCGACATCACTATGTGAATGCAGCTACCCATGATACGTGCAGGCGAATCCTTAACTATGTCAAATAATGACCGTTTTACCCTGTGGAAGGTTCGAGCACGGCGACATTGCGGCAGCGAAGGGCAGGAGGACCTACGCGCGCGACCTGAGAATATCTTTTTACTGGTGGTAGGACCTCTTGTGAGTTCGCGCGGGTAGGTACCACCACGCCGCATATTTCTGCCGTGAAGCAGTAACGCGTTTCGGTTTGAAGGGTAGGGCAGCAGTTGTAACTATACTTGAGACCTTAGAACTTGTATCTCAAGGTGGATGGCGCATTTACGTTGTAGATGTCTATGGGCTCCAGTAACCACTTAACACCAGGTGTGCTGTGAGCTCGTTCACGCATCTAAGCAATACAAAAAAATACCACGGTGTTTTCCAAAGTCGCTTAGCATCAGATAGGCAATAAGTTCGTCTGTCCATTCGCTTTTCCAAAATCAAAGAGTATTAAGTTATTTATTAACATTTTATTTTTCAAATAAAAAACGAACTACTAAAAACGGTTAAACGAAGCCCAGACTTCACCACGACTTGAAACTGAATATTCAATTACCATCAATTTCAAATCAAGATTTGAATTTTATTTCGCTTTCTATTGAGATTTACGTATTACGTAATGCATTGATGTTAATATAAAAGCTGATAAAATCACATGAGCTTTCATGTGTCAGCTTCCCACTGATAGCGTTTGTACGCGGCACATAGGCTGAACAAATTTTGCAGGTTCAAACATACATTTTATGTTCCTTAATTTTTGTATGATAAGATAAGAGGCCAATTTAAATAAGACAAATGATCGATAACAAGAAATAAAAACATTATCATGACATGAGTGACCCGGAAAGAACCGGAATGCCTCACTGCTTCGTGGCAGAAATAGACAGGGTGATGGTACCAATCCATATGGGCTCATAAGATGACCAGTAATTAATTAATATTTTGGCCGCTTTGTTTTTTATTACATTATCAGATTACTTCTTCAAGGAAGTCATTCATTAGTGTTTAGTTTAATACGTATTTCATTAGTAAAATTGGTATCTGCCTGCGGGATTTAAACATCAACACAGTCCCATCGCTCGATAAGAGTACACCGGACGTCTTATCCTTCAGGCCACAACGTCCTGCGAAGTAGCAGTGCTCTATTTTCTTGCTTAGCTTCCTGATTTCAAAGCCCCAGCTCTTCTACATTTTAGTGACATTTGGGTGACATCCCAGACCTCCCACCTGTTTCTATCACATAACAGCTTATCGCTTCATGCATGCCAGTTAGATGGATAGCTGTTGAGAGGCAATTGAGTTTTTTTGTATTATATTTCAAGATGTACGACTTAGGACCATGGGTCGCGTTGTGGTCTGAGGGGTTCAGAAAATATAGCTATTCCAGTCATCAAACTCGACGTTCAGAATATAAAATCATCCCCGAACTCTTACTTTGCTGTAGAAATAGCACTAGTATCAAGCCAGGTGGGCTCAGTGTATGTCTTAGCAGCGCAGGATGTTAGTGAACCCAAGAAGTTATGTCGTGTTGCTTGGAGATGAAGATTACAGCATAAAAAACCCAAAACTACTCAAAGGTGGAACTGTCGGACAATATTCGCCCGGCCTCTCTAAATAAGATATTTACAGCAATTATTTATACTTATTCTTTTTAATATCGTAAAATTACACAATTAGGTACAAATTGAGAGTAATTTAATATCCATTATCATCATTCAAGTCAACATGTGTTATGTCATTCGGTTAAAGTTAAAATTGGACTTAGTGAATATGGTTTAAATACGTTGCGAATTCAACATCATTTCTTAATGTTGCCAGATCTTAGGCGGCTAGTGTGGATATGGATGTTGCCCGAATTCATTTTGACAAAAAAGTGGGATCCAAATTCAAAACCGGTCATATTTAGCAGTTTTTTTTACACTAACAAACAATAACTATGAGACATGTTACGACATTGCCAGTGAAGCACAAAGGGGTGAGATAATTATGTTCCTACATGTTCCTAGGATACTCACTAACTATATTTTAGATTATAATTGCTACTTCATGTTACAGAATTTTTTTGGATAGTTTCCACAAGTTTTATATTTATTGTTTGCCGATTCCTACAAAATATAAACAGAATGAAACGTAACTCTCCATTTTCGTAATGTCACATTTCGATTTATACATATGCATGAAATTTTTATTGAAATATTTTAATTAAATAATTAGCATGTCACATAGAAATGAAAGTTTTTAATAACTGAATAGTAAATTTTTCGAATGATTTTTATGTTTTCATGAATAAATTTCATTGATTTGAAAATTAAATTGCAATTTAAAATGAATTCAATATATTTTTAAAATTTTGTCATTTTAGTTATTGTATTTATTTTTTATTTTTTAATTCACTTTTTCAATTTAATTTTAAAGAAAAACAGAAAATCACGGACAAGAGTTTGAAAAGTATAAGTATTTTTTTAAGTGTAATAATGACGTAGATTATTTAGTTTTGCACTGATTTGAGAATTTTAAATAAATTAGTAGGAAAACCGAAAACTTCAGTCAAATTCGTGATTATACAATAAATGTAGAGTCACAATTCAATACATAAATATAAAAAAGAAGAACTTATCATTTTATGTGTATATTTATTATAAACAAAAGTTTATGAGACTAGCTTAACATTTCTTATTTTAATATTGTTATAAATCATATTTTTACATGTACTATAAATATAATTAAATGGAATAAACACTGTTACAATTGTAAAAAAAAACTCACCAATTATATCCAAAAAAGAGGCATCCAATTAATTATACTGAAGCACAAAAATTTCGCACACTATGAAAAAAATTCGTCGTTCTTTTTTCAAACGTAAAAGAAGATGGCGAATTAAAAAAAACCGCGTCAGACGCGTACCGGTCGCGTCTTCTCACCGCACGCGACTGTCTTGAGTTTACTGTTTCGACTGCACGCCTGTAGCAAATCAACATATTTAGCCTCACACGTGGCTTCTCTTTAGTTTTCGAAGAGATTTTGATAAGTTTGTGACGATTCGGTACAGATAGTTTAAATGAATAGCTGTTTAAAAACTATGAACAAGATAAATTAATTCTAAACAAATTTATTGCACCGTTTACTAATTAGTAAGAAAAAAGAAATGTTTTTCGAACCTTTTCTTAATGATTTCCTAAGCCAATGAAGAATGTGTGTGACTGTGATTTTATAATTACTAAAAGCAATAGCTTAGTGGCAGCATATACGATTGCCAAAAATGTATCATGTATTGTTTGAATGCGTCACGTGTGAACTTCTTTCTTTAAGTGTTCACTGTTGGCAGATTTTGATGAGATGATCTGTTACACGGCTAACATTAGGTCGGCTATTAATTTGAACCTGATAAAGGCAAAAATATCAATACAAACAAACAGGCGATAAATTTAATATATTATTATGAGTATCTCTCTAACGGCGATTGATGTAAAGCATTTTATAATATTACGCAAGAGGCTTTCCAAAGCATCTGCAAAGGTCAAGACACTAAATAAATAATTTGTTTTCTCCTTATAAATTACAAACGTTTCCAGAAAATTTCAAATCATTCATACATCCAAAGAAATGTAATAAATACGGAAAATGTAAATAAGATTTATGTCTTAAAATACAACTTCCAATAGAAGGAACTTAAACTGAAGTTGATTAATGTTTTTAAGTACTACCGGCTATCTCATCGCAATATCGGCGCTAGTTTTTTTTTGTTAGATCACTTAATATTTGTGAACGGAAAGCACCTAAATAATTATACCATATGTATGTTTATATATTTCGTGTTAAATGATTATTTCTTTAATGTTGTCTTTCTTTAAGATACAAAATGCTGTTTGTTTTGCTTTTGAAAAACTAATATTTTAGTGAATATAATAAATGTACTTAACATAAAATAAAATAGTTAATTATATTATATGATAGTTTGCAGTTTCTGATAATTTAATTACAATCGTCATCGTGGCCTAAAAAACATGTTTTTTTTTTTAATTCAAACTTCTTCAAATAATCTTTTACAAACTTCAAACTTCATCATATCACTTCTGAGCACAGCTATCCTTCCACATAATATGAAGTGCAGTCCACACAGCGACGCTGCGAGTCGAAAGCTAGTGTTATATAAATTTAATTATGTACATATGTATATCCTGTCGCTATGTAAGTTTATTTGTTCGTGTCAATTGCAACTCGGTGCTTGTAAGAGACCTGTTTGACATCACCATCAATGCACGATAAGCGTCTTTGGCTTGTTTCCTACAAATTATTTTTATACGCATTGAACGATGTTCAGAGCGAGGCGTGGTAGAAAACAAATATAATTAATAATCAAAAGCTGCTGTAAGTTTTATAGTCTCATTCGTACAAATTGATGACAAGCAGAGCGTGATCACGAACTGATGATGGGCCCAAAATTATCAGTATTCGTTAAAAGTTAAAAGGTTTTTTTGTTACTCACACAAAACTTAAAATCAACCTCTATACTGAAGACGTTACAGTCGAGTTTTGCGTGTCTTGCGTCTTAAAGGCGATGTTTTAAAATTAAATAATTTGCTTTCTAATGAACACACGCTGTGGCTTTGAATAAAGGGTGAGCGAAAGTGAAATTATTTCATTTTATATAGAATTATTTTTGTTGGTAATTTATGTATTGTTATGTGTTTTCAAATTCGTTAAGGTTTTCAGAATTAATCTACTTTAATTAAATACCTATAGTTCCTATCCAAGTTTTAGTACATTGTGTATTCAGAATTGTCTCCGCCATCATGAAACAATAACAACAACAAATAAATGCAAACAAAGTCTTGTATAGCATGTGAAATATAAAATGTATATCGTGTAGGGTAGAGCAACTAATAATTACAAAAGTACAGCAATTGTCACTGTCAGTATACTCTATTCTTGAGGGGATTACTTTTACAATTATAACTTACTGTGAAATAATTTTATTTTGAATTTTTTTTTTTTAATAATGATCCTCGTTCCATCGATTGTAAGTGATGACGTAGCTGCAGCTCTACCAACCCTACAGAGTAAATATCGATGAATGGTTCGAATAGTACAAAAGTCGGGATTGCAATAAGCTCACTGGCAATGTTCATGACGGTAGTTCTTTTGACGTTCAACAAGTATGTACTTTCATTTATGTTGAATAACATTTTTTTGATTTGATTTGATTTGACCTGTTCACTCGTCTGCCAACATTACTCGGTAAAACTGCTAATAATTTTGCCAAATCCATATTTACTGTGTGCCGAATGCTCACAGACCAATTGGCGTAAAACTAATAACCGGATAATTAAAGTTTCCTACAAACTTTCGATTTTAACTTGACTCGTTACCCCAACGTGAGCGGTTTCAGGATTAACCGGTTTATTACTAATCCATGTTTTAATTGAAGCAGTTGTTTATGTAAATGTTTTTGTAAAACGCGAAAGATATTATGTACCAAGACCGAACTAGGAGAAAAAAGAGCTATTGCAGGAAAAAATATTGGACCGAGCGCGGTCTAATTAGACGTGGGACGTGGTCACTCGCAGTATCACGTCACGAAATCATATCGCTCTTATGAATGCGGTATAAGTAGTTTTATTTATGAAGATGTTTTATTTCTCAAAAAACTCTAAGTAATACACGCGTACTTGCGGCAGGCTTTTTTTATTGTTTAGATCGATGGACGAGCCCATAGACATCTACAAACGTAAGTGCACCACCCACTTTGAGATATAAGTTCTAAGGTATCAGTATAATTACAACGTCTGCCCCACCCTTCAAACCGAAATGCATTACTGCTTCACGGCAGAAATAGGCAGGGCGGTGGTACCTACCCGTGCCGACTCAAGAGGTCCTACCACCAGTAAAAACTTGAAATTTTGATTATAATTTCGATTGCAATGAAACAGAACTGTACAAATCGGAAAAAAGGCTGGGTTCTACGCTACATGATAAATTTGACCAAGTTTTCAAGCCAATTCCAGGAACAGATGTGTTGTCTACACGAGTCTGGATATCTTGTCGACGGAGAATGTCTGAAAGTCGAAAGATCGACGATCGGCTGCCCAATGCTACGGCATTCCGCGGCTAATGGCATTTGCGCGAGTCTGCACAACTTAAGCCCCTGCTTAGGTAGAAAAGCGACGGGATTGATACCCTCTAAACAGATTTAATACGTGGAACGATGATCAAACGCTTAAACCACCAACCTAAGAATATTCAGTGCATCATCAATAGCAATCATATATTTAATAAAATTTACTAACTACTTAAAATGTTAAATTTTTACTAAGAGGGGTTTTTTATTCTGCTGTTCCACTGATTGCTCCCATGACATACAAATTGACATACAGTAAATTGAAGTTGACTTTAAAATTAACGTATAAAGTTAAAACAGTCGTTATGCTTAACAAAAAAATAGAAACCATTTTGTACTAGAAAATGCGTGCCAATAAATTATTGCTAAATACTCATTAATAAATTAATATGTATCTGTTCCAATTGTCGTTAAAAAAAACTGGTCGAAATATTTGACGTTGAATCCGATAGTTCTACCAGTCTTATGTAACTATTAACGCATTTCACGTCTGGTTGCCATATTGATGCTATGAAAATAGAGTCGGTAGTAGGAGGCACACTTAATCTAATCCGGTAGAAACTACCGCCCGATCCATTTCTTGAATTGATATTCCGAGGCAATTTATGCTACGGCCTAATTTTATAAGTGGATGGAATAGCGGGCGTCGAACCTTTCCAACTGTTCTTTCTCTGCAGACAGAGCGGTTGGACAGACCGGCGCTGTTGAATTTCAGTAATTACGCTATTAATCCTGCGAGTTACATATTAATTGATTCTATTTTCTAAGCCTTTCATAATATTAGCTCACTTCACTGATGAGCTGTTTGAATATTTGAAGATCCTAGCCATATTGTCGATTGGAACTAATGTGTAACTCTATTGTGTGTTCAATAGGGAGTGTTGACGAGATATTTGAACGATATCTTTTTGGAACTAAGTTCCTTATGGGACGATGCGGAGGGGTACCCTAACCGGGAAAAAACGTCCGTAACGTAAGATTTTTATTAGTAATGCACACAGTGTACGACTTAACTATATAATAACGTACAAATTAGTAATGTACACGGTGTACGACTTAACTTTGTAATAACGTATAAAAAATAATATATATTTTTTTATATATGTTTTTAATAAATCATTGTGAATAAAATAAAATTGATAACTTTATAAAGTAGTTTTTATTTATTTTTATCAATAAAAAATAATAATAAAAAATGTATACCCGAATATATATTTTCTTTATACCTCGAATAGAACTTAAAATTAATATTATTATAATAAGGAACTTCGTTCCTATCCGGTGTCCCACGACACTCCACATCGTTTTTTTTTTTGATGGAGAGGTTGTTGTGTGCCCGGCGTCTCTTCCATCTTGAACCATATTGGCGGGTGAACCCGAGAGCTTAGTCAGGTGGATGAAGGTTTGCTAACAACCGTGCAAGCTCTTCACAGAGAAACTTAATGACTCAAAGGCAGCTGCTTCGCGAGTTAATCTGTTACTGCATTGGAATCGCAATCCGCTGAAAAGATCTGAAAGAAAGATAATTAGAGCAGTCTCAGTACCTTTTCCTTTTTAATATCACTCTATTCGTTGGCGTTGTCGGTCTCGTACGTGGTACCTGGTACCTTGTATACTTTACGTACTAAATTTCATCAGGGTACTACATACTCGAGAACAAACCAGCGGCCCGACTGCACCCCTGGCTTTGCTGATGTTCATAAATATACAGTAATCATTCATCACCAGGAAGGTTGCATGATCTCCATCTCCCGCAGAAAAAATATGTGTGGTGTCCTGGGACACCGG